GTAACAGCTCATAATACTCTTCACTTCACATATCTAATAGCTAATATTTATATGCACATGGATGCACAGTATGTACTTATACATTAAACATTAACAATTATCAAATTGAATGCATTTTGGTACCAGACAAAAATGTACTTAAAAAATACAATTAATTTCCTTATTTTGTGCAGCTACAAACAGGTTTTGCATCTTTTTTTTTTGTCAATTATTTTGTTCATTTTGTATAAATATAAAATGTATTATAAAAAGGTTTAAAAATAATTATGAAAAATTCTTGATAAGCTGATTTAGTGGGACATTCATTTAAATATATATATTATCTCATAATATTTTAGACATACATACATAAATGCTTTATATTTGCGCTAAATATGTTGGGACATACGTATTTAAAACATATTCATATACATTTACTAAAGCTATGTGTGTGTATATATATATATTTATTTATTTATTTATGTATAATTTATTTTTCTTGTTCACATTTATAGACTTATCTAATTAAATTTTGTTGAATTGTTCTATATTGTATCCATTTTACCAGTTTGTAATGCACATTTATGTTAATATATTTTAAGTTTGTATTTGTCGATTTATATTTTATTTAATTTTATTTTTATTTTTATTTTTGCTGTTGCTTTTTTGCTTTGTGATAAAAAACGTTCTAACAAACTTATGCTATGTACGTGTATGTATGTATATATCTAAATATACGCGTTATAAAAATGCAATTTAAAATATATTATCAATTGGTTTTTCACTATTATCGCTACAGCATTTCTGCTGCTGCTGCTTTTGGGGCACTGAAAACAAATTCGAGCTAATTTCACAATCGCGAATGTTATTTAAAAGCCTTTAGTGAACTCATGTCTGGGAAAACAGATACTATGTTAATCAATCTTATAAATACAATAATAGTATTTAGAGCTAGGGCAATACACTAATTCCCTCATTGCTAAGCGCCAAACAATACAAAAGGAACTAAATTGTACACTGCCTTGTATTAATATTCACATGATATACGAAATAATGTCAAAAATATACATATACATATATATGTTCTGTTTTGTTGCTTTTTGTTTCTTTTTTTACAATATTGTTTAAATTATATGTTAGTGCGCCTCTGATAGATAGATAGCTAAATATTTAATATAGTACATGTATTTAAATATATAAATTTTCTAGTTAAAAATTGCTTTTCGTATTCGAGTTCAATTTCGTTTCCTCAATTTCGATTCACTAAGCCATTCTGTTACACATTGACATATATTCGAGTACACAATCATACGTGATATCATATAGGGTTCTGATCCCTCCTCAACTCTCCGACCTCTCCACCTAAACCCACCATCCAACATTCTAAATACAAAAATCGCGTGCTGGAATGTTAAATAATTAATAATAAAAATAATCGGCTTGCCGAACAATACACACACTTTTCACATAACTAACTGGCAAACACAGACATTCTGTGTATGTTTACCGTTATCGGTATACCACTTATCTAATAATACGATTTGCCTGATAACCCTAATTCTCTTATCTATGGCTGCTCGCAAATTATACTGTAAATGCGAAACTGATACAATATGGAATCAAACCAAAACTTAATCAATTTATGGCCAGACATTAATATATGCACAAAAACTACAAACAGATCGTCTACAATATACATATGTATGTTCTTGAAGAGCAGTGTCCTCCCATGTTTCAGTGGGGTTCAGTCTCAGTTAAACGAAATTATTAATTCAATCAACTTAATGCATTTAACTAGCCGGCATTAGATAAAGCATTCCGTATACAGCAGTCAAAATCAATTTACATGTTATTTGGAAAACCTTGAACATTTGCAATTGGATTCATTGGTGTTTCGGTTGATTGCAATAAAATTGTAATTATTTTATTATTAAATTACATAAACGTATTTAGATTATCATTTTATGTATATCTGTAAGCATGTATATTTTGGTATATAGTTAAACTGTTCTCTTTCTCTGCATAACTAAATACAAAATGACTTAATTTCAATGTATCAAAGTTTCGGAGACAAAAATAACCGAAATAATCATAATAAATATATTTCCGCCTTCTCGCATGGCTTTCAACAAAGATTTGCGCGCGTTTTCTCATTTTCTAATTTTAATAAACATTTGCGTAAACAATTACAATAAGATTTAAAATGTTTGTGCATAATTTGCCATTTCTAGAGGCGTTCTTAGTTGGTCGGTGTATTTGAGGGCTTTGCATGCGTGTGTGTGTGTGTGTCTGTATGAGTGTGTGTATATGTGTATTTGTTAAACAATTTCACATTTTCAAAAAATTCGTTCACTTTCAGCTTAAATACTATAGATACTAGAACGTATGGCCTACACATACCAATAGCAATATAAAACTATGTACCGTGGCTATGTATTCAAAGTTTACAATCAGAGGCTGCGCATACACATCGTATGATACAAATGCCATATTTTTGGGATATATATATCTATATATGTACAGATACACATACATATGGTTGGACAATAAATATTGGGCGTACGCATGTCTACGGGTCTAAAACTGTAGCTGCTCGAAGCCACAATCAACTGTTGGTCAGACATTGGCTGGCAATGTCTAGGCCTCTGTTTCGGCACCCTTTAGGCGCAGGCGCGCGAAATCCTCAAAGATAATATCATCATCTTGGGCCTCATCGTCGTCCAGCTGTATGAGGTTGGTGGTGGTGGGCACATCCTTGGCCGTTTGGCCCGCGGATGCCCCGGCGCCGGCATCAACTGAATCGCCCAGGCTAAGCAGCGGCGCTGCTAAGCTGGCGCGCGGTGATCGATCCCCCAGCACCGGGTGCTCCTCCTCCTCGGGCTTGGGATGCATCAGCGTGAACGGTAGCTCGGCAACCAAGTCTCCGCCCAACAGTGGCGAGCCAATCAGCAGCTTCACCTTCACCTTGTAATGCACCAAAATGCCCAAGCTTTCGCGCTGTGCGGGATTGGTGATTAGCGTACTTGACGCCAGATTTGTATCCTCGTGCTTCAGCTGTCCATCCAGCGCCAGTCCCCATTTATCCTTGTTATTCGCGAGCAGGGGACACAACTCGAACACCTTGGAGAGCGTGAAGCCCGGCGCCACCGTGCAGCCATCTTCTGACTCTGTTTCGGCCACCACGGACTTGTACTGGGCCGTCGAAAAGAGGCATATGTCGGCAAACTGGCGTACGCACACCTTGATTTTTTTGACTGTGCGATTGGAATTGTTCGCCACGTGAACATTGACTGATATCTTCTCGCCATGGTGGTACAGCTCCTTATCCAAGCTCGCTTCCAGGTGGATTTTATTTGGCTTCATCATGAACTCCTTGCTCACCTCAATCGAGGGCTGCTCTCCGGCCTTGGACGGTGCATACATCACCTTCCGAATCGTCAGACGTACGGAATTCCGTTTGTGTGGCTTATCCTCAATGTGCTCGCCTATCGTTAGACAAATATATAAACAGCATTAGCTTTGGACTTCAACTTGTTTTCATGACGTATTTACATATGATATTTATCACCCAAACACACTAACACACATTCTCTCATAAAAGCTCACATATTTATGCATCATTTTGTTCGGGGGTGTGTCAAACTCTATTTTGAGTGCGTCACAGTTTGAGCACAGCTTAGCAACCAGATGATTCACGAACGAAACTATCAGCATCTGGGTATTATACAAGAGAATGTGTGTAAAGAGATATGACGCACCATTATATCGGTACTGGATGCTGTTGAAATGAAATGAGAATAATTTAAAATACTTTCAATTTTGAGATCATAAATATTAGCGCTTGTTGGCCTCTGTGGGGGAGCCAGAGGCAGAGGCACGGATGACTGGTGCTGGGTTTATTGTTTATGCCAAAAACATGGCAGCTTCAACCCAGAGCAGAGCACATTAAATAAACAAATCAACAGATGGCAAGGCAAGTAAATAAAATCATCTGGTACTCATGCCAGCATCATAGATGCCCTTACAAGCGATCGATCGAGAAATAGAATTCAACTGTTATATGACAACTCAATACATTTGAGTCGAATTAATTGACAACGTTCGCAGTTATTCAAACATTGTTGCATTTGTCACATATCAAATGTAAATAATGACATTGTCTGTTTTAATTTATATATTTTTAGTAAAATGAAAGAAATTCGATCCGTGATATTTCTGATTATCATAAAAATTATAAAATAAATTCCGTTGAAAACTGTTTCAACGGATCAAATATCTGTTTTGGATTCAATGAACTTTTTTTTGGCTTTTGCATAAGTCGCTAATGTCTTGAATTTGATCCCAAAACTGGCAACAATTATAAATGAAGAAATCATGGATATTGGTTTATACCAGATGGGATAGCTTGATACATTGATTGACAACTATTTCCTTTGGGCTTTGTATAAACAGCTGGGCCAGTCAAAGCCGCTTAACGCTAAAAGACTGTGCGCATAATTCTCTTACAACAGTTTCGAAACGATCGTGGAAGTCATTCTGCTGATTTTCTGGAAATCTTTAGAGCAAATGCGAAAACTGTGTATTTATAATTTTAATTAGTCGATTCTTATGGAAATATCAAAGTATTTGCATGGCATATGCATAAGTATATTTATACATGTGTGTGTATATTCTAGTCAGAAATCGTTAATGTCTGGGGCGTGCTACAAATTCGCATACATTGTGCGCCAGGGGGTGGCCCATTCAAGCCCACCCAATTGGCATTTGGCTCAAGTTTGCTTTCGATAATCTTTTTATGGTTACACACCAATTGGCAATGGCCGTGGCAGTGGCAGCAGCGGGGGCAGAGGCGCCGCCAGAGACAGATAAGAGTGTTGACGCCGGGCAATAAAACCACCAAAAATAAACGGACAAAGCAAAGTGGCTACAGTACTAAATACAAACATACGCACACACAAACACACACACACAGACCCACACACATACATCTGCTCATAGATAGCAATAATGCGCAATAAAAACAACAAAAATGCAAAGGCAAGAGGCGCTAGAGCGAGACAGCTTGCATTTGAAGCAGAGCGCACAGCGGAGATCCCAAGTGAGAAATGCGAATGCGCGTGCGAAACGCAAACATGAGCGCGTAACTCCCAATAAATCGCTGCTAAATACGCTGTACGCGCTCTTTCTACATCTTGCTGTTGTTTTTGTTGTTGTCAATTTCATTATTGTTGCAAAATGAGAATGTGAGGAGCGCAAGACGCAAAATGAGCGCGAGACAGGAGAGCGGCAGAGCGGGATCGGCAATTACGCTTTTGGGTCATTGCTGCTGTAGTTTATTTTATTTTATTTTGTGTTTTTTTTTTCAGCTTACTTAAGCACTAAAAAAACAAAGATACCCAGCTGCGTCGAGTTTCCAAGAAGCATTTATGTAAGTGCTGAATGTAGGAAAAATCGCCAAACGTCAGCGGAAAGACGCCTAATTAAAGCAACCGCGACTGCGACTGCGGCTGCGGCTGCGGCTGCGGCTGCGGCTGCGAGAGCAATAGAGTCGAATTCCAATTAGAAGCGTCGAATTCCAATTAGGTGCCTGCGCTGCGTCATCAACGTACGGCATACACAATGACATTTTGCGCAGTCGACGCAGTTGGATTAATTAACCCCGCGCGTGACACATGCGCCAACTAACAAAGCCTTTTTATAATAAAAATATTTACTATGTACATACACACACACACTCACGCTCAAGAACATAAATTCCATGAAAAACTTACCAACAAACGCCTTTAGTTCGTAGTCCACGCCACAGGATTTTCCTACGTCACCAGGGGCTGGCTGCAGGGACACTGAGGCCGGACAATAGGGCGGCACTTCAAAGTAAAATGGATGTGCATTGGGTCCCAGCTTTTTAATGAGCCGTTCCTGCAATCTAGTCATAGGCCGCTCCATTTGCATGGGCGGATAGATTTGTTCGTGGGCTAAATACAAATCCTTGCGAAACGTTAGCCCCAATACGTCCAGATCCTCACGACCATATCTAAAGGCGGCTAGCACCTGACCAAACACTTTGCGATCCTTCACATACTCCGGGTCAATAAAAACCACACCATCAATGGGATCCACATGCGTGACGTGATCCACAAAGTCGCGCTTGCCCAAATAGACTGTGATTTTGCCATTCGATGAGCTCTTCTTAAACACTCGCGTCGCCTGCCTGCGCGAACTGGCATCGCCACCAAGCTCATCAAGGTTACCTACTCCGCCACCACCGCCACCTCCGCTGCCGGCTGTTGTGGCATTGGCAGTGGTGGAGCTACCACCGTTGCCGTTGCCACTGCCGTTGCCGTTGCCATTGCCATTTCCGTTGTTATTCCCCGTTGACCCAGCTCCGCTTCCGTTCGTGTTAGCGCTCAGTGTGTTCATTGTCGTCGTCGCCGTCACCGTCAACGTCGTTCTGGACGTTGTGATACTGCTGCGCTGCTGCTGCTGCTGTTACTGCTGCCTCTGTCTCTGCTACGTTGTTGGTGTTCGTAAACGCTGCTGCTCACTGTGTGCCGCCACTGCTGCGATTGCTGGTTCTACTACTGGTGCTGTTAGCGTGTGCTTACGCGCTCTCTTTGTTTTCAAGCACTTTCAATAATAAATATGTGTGCAATTTAATTTTTTTTATGTATACTTAATGAGCAACAGCGCCACACAACTTCTTCTATCGCCATCTAGTGTTTACAGTGCTGCATAATGTATAAATGAACTAGTTCACATTGACACTCATCAACACTGACGCAGAGCTGCCACTTGCTTGTAAATACACGTTTTTTCCCTTAATCCCTATGGTCACACTTTTTCTTCGTTCTTTTCCACGTGCATTTGAGCGTACCGAAACACGCGTTATTCAGAATTTCCCGGTTATAATAGTGAAATAAACCAAAAAAAATGGCACAAAAGAAACTTAGTACCAAGAAAGCTGCTGTCAATAACAAGCGTGGGCCAAAATCAAAGAAGGTTGAGGAAGAGAAGCCCGAAGTGGAAGTAGAGGCCAACGAAGAAGACTCTGATGCCGAAGAGGAGCAGAATGGAGTAAACTCTGACGATGACAGCGATGCTGAGGTGTGTATTAAGCTGAAAATATAATTCAGGCAATCCAATGGCAACACCACGTGTTCGTAACTTTTCTTAGGCTAATGAAGCAGCAGATTTGGTAGACTCTGAGGCTGAGGAAGCAGAAGATGATGATGATGATGATGAAGATGAAGGTGAGGATGACGAGGATGAGGACCAGGACCAGGAAGATGAGGATGAAGACGAGAATGAAGTCGAGCCAGGCGAAATATCAAAGGTCTCGAAATCAGCCGCCGAATCTGATGATGATAACAACGTTCAGGAATCCGATTCTGACGATGAGCCCGACGAAGAGCCAATTAACAGCGATAAGAAAAAAGCAATTGGATCCAAGAAAACTGGAATCCCAAAAATTACCGTCGGTCGCATTCCACCCGGAACACCCACTGAACAAATTCTCTTTGTTCGCGGACTCCCAACTGGTAGGTGAAAAATATGCAAGCACTTATTAAATAACATCAATTTATATACATTTTTGATTGTAATATGCTTTACTCTTTCAGGATACAAGCACATTGACTTTATCGAACTGTTTGCCAAATTCGGTCCGATTGCTGTTATTAATAGGATCAAGACAAAAGCTGGCGGCAACAACGTCGCCATTGCTTTTGAGTCTGCCGAATCTGTTCAGGCCGCTCTTGCTGCCAAGGAGAAGGCATTGACGCTCAATGGCCAAGTCTTGACTGTGTCTCAAGCGTTGAAAAAGAGCGAGCTCAACGAGCGCACGGTTGTCGTAGGATTGATTGGGACTAATACCACGAGGGAACAACTTATTGAACACTTCCAGGGCTGCGGCGAAATTGAAACTGTTAACTTCTCCCATAATCGCGCTATGCCCACCGCATATGTGCGTTTCGCATCGGTCAGCTCCATGCCGAAAGCCCTGAAACTTCAGGGCAGCAAATTGAACAATCGTTTCATAACAGTTCGTGAGGAGGCATACAAAAATAAAAGTATAAAAAGTCCAGCATGCACATTAACCGTTATGAATACTGGCCATCATGAATCCTACAAAACCGATTCCATCGAGAAGATCTTCAAGAAGCACGGCGATGTTGTCGACGTTGATACGGTATGCACGCGTTCAATTCTGGCTTTTGTTACATATAAGACAGCCGAGCAGGCCGAAAAGGCGATGAAGAATCTAAATGGCAAAAAAGTGAACGATCTGGATATTAAATTGGAGTCCTTCCAATACAGCTCCTCGCCCCGTTCAATTGTTGTGACAAATTTGGCTCCAAGTAAGTGCGATCATCTTTTTGCTTTTGACTTACCAATTCTAAATTAATTTTTTTTCTTTAGGTGTCGAAGAGCAGCACCTAAATGAAATCTTCAAAGAAGCTGGAGAAATCGAGAGCATCAAAATGCTGCCCTACAAGGCAGTAATTAAATTCAGTAGTGATGAAGGCTACTGCAAATCCTTCCTGTTTAACGAGCGAACAGTGCAGGGCCAACCAATTTTCTTGGAGCCGAATTCAATGCTAAAGATGAAATTGCTCAAGAAGAAGTTCCAAGGAAAGCCCGGTTTTAACAGTAACAATAGCCCTACATACCAGAAGAAGCCTTTTAACAAACGCCCAGCACAGGATAATGGTGCCCCGCCAAAACGTTTCAAGAAGGCCCGGAACTTTTAATATGTGCTTAACCGTCTAGCATCCCTAGTCTTAAGTTTGATTGATTCTAGTTTTATAAGCCGACAATACTAGGAGGTGTCTGCGCCGCCTATTCAAGATTTGTGTTTCTGAATACTTTATGACATGCCAATAATGTCGAGTATAGCTAATTTTTAATATTTGCCGGCAAACGCGCCTTTGCCCAACAATTTGTGCGCTGCCTTAACGGGCGGCGACTCGGCCCAAAAATACAAAACCTGTAAGACCCAACGAGAAATAAATTGCAAATTTCCAACACGTACAACAAAACAAAAACCTGAATGTCAATGTGTTCGCTTATGAGTTTCGAGTGTTTGTGCTTAGCCACTTGAGTGCCTGCCTCCTGCTGCCTGATGCCGGCTCCCATTGGCTCATGATTCATTACACTTTGCGCACGCCGTCGTCGCTCGAGACGCGGGTGATTCATGCTAGCCCAACTCAACCAATTTCACACGCAAGCACACTTCATTTCTCTCTTTCTCCAAATGGCTTGGCGGCGCTCCCATTGCACCGCAGTCGTTGTCCTCGCTCTGCCCATCGTCATCGTCCTCGCATCTTGGCTCATTGCGAACCCATCCTCCACTTGGCCCAATGCAAATTAACACAGGGTCAGCAATGGGGCGCGGCTGAGTCACATAGAGAGACCGAGCGCAGTTCAGGGTGCCGCTCCTTGCAGCCAGCTGTGGCGATGATAACAAAAATGCGCCACCAGCCGTATGAGCTAATTGCACAAACTTACTTAGTTAATTATTTATAATACTTATGTGTGCAGCCAGCTGGGAACGGGCAACAATTTGTCATTTCATTATTATTTTTCACTTTTGACCAGACTCTAAGCGTGATGGCTTTCTGGAGACAGTTCACATGTGTAGCTATAATATACGATACTATGATTAAAGTCTTATAGAGGCATATCTTAGCCCTATTCATATACATATGTAAGTCTTAAGTTCGTAATCAAATTTGGAAGTTTAGACAGCTTCATCAAAGCTTTCTTCAATTAAACTTCAGTTTTGAGCAATTAATATTAATATTTTGTTAATCTGAATCGTTCGACAATATTAAATGGCTGCATTAAAATTCATAGTTTCATTATAGTTTATGATCTAGCATATGTAAGTTCTACAAAGATATTAATTGCTTTTAATTAACCACATCCTAATCAAGGCGTACTCTTCAGAGTAGCACGGGCTACTTAGAATGAATCACGAAATGAATGTCATACTAACAGTCTATTAATTTTACCTTTAAGTATATTTTACATATAAATAAATATATTAATAATAAATAAAATTGAAGGTGTAGGTCAAACAAACTAATCAGCCATTCATTTTAGAGAGTAGGAAAACAGTATTGCTTATATTGCAGCCCGGTAGTACAGAATACTCATTCAACCCGCTATAAATAGCCGGCGTTTTTAAAATACCGCAAATGTAAATTCTCGATTTGCCACGGTATATCGAGAAATTCTTAAAGCCATGTCAGGCAAGGGTTTTCAGGGAAAACAATTTTTGTTGTGTATATTAATTTGTAAATTCTTTTATAATAAATATTACTCTTCAATATGCAACGCTTTTAACTTCATATAAAATTCCGGAATGTTAAATTAGTTATCCTCATGGAAAACTTATTCAGGTCAGTAAGATAATAAGTTTAAGCATTTAATCAGGCATGCAATTAAGACTAATTAGAAAGATAAAGTAGATTTAATAGCCAGCAACTAAACAAAATTTGCATAAAGCCCTTAAGCATGATTACCTAAATTTGAAATCCCCAATGTCGTGTCAAAGCTGCGTAATATTATGGAGTATATTTGACGTCCTGTAACATTAGCAATTTATATCAACTTAGAACTTAAAATTTGGCGCTTATTGAAATGCTGAGTATATTAATTAGGGTAAGATAGGTAAGGTCGGTATTTCTCATTTTTTATGGGTTCTTGTTAATACAAGATTTTATTTTGATTTCTAGAGGACTATATCGATCAATTTTCACTTCAAATTAACACAAATACTCTTATTTATAATCTTGGAGGACAGCTTGTTTATTGTCAAGGCATTTTTTGTATCCGATGACTTCTGTGTCACTTTCACAATAGATCATCTTTAGCTTCGGACATGATATAGCTTTTCTGGTGACAGCATATCCGTAGTACAGCCCCGTCTATTCAGTAACGCCCATCAAAATGTGCAATTTTTAATAATTGATGTATACATATGTACATATATAATATACAATAATAGCTAAAATCTAGCCAAATCCCGCAAGAAAATATCAATTTTAACCATTAGTTGATTTTGTATATTTAACATTTATTAGTAATAAATTGTTGTTTTTGCAATATCGATTTGATTCCAAATTGGTTTATCCATTTGCTGCTACACGTTCACAATATGTACTTGTTGACTTGATATTTGATGTACGAGTATGTATGTAATGTAATGGGCCATAGTTATAGGCATACGATGTATCTATGTAGGTATGTATGTATGTAGGTGACTGTAGTATCAATTAATGCGCTTCTCTTGTATATTTTGATAATATGTTTGTATGTATATTGATAATAATAGTATTTCTGTTTTTATCAACTTGTTAATAATACATTTAAATATATATTTAGTTTTAATGGATAATATTTAGAGCTACGTATATAAGTCGTTCATTTTTGTTTTCTTTTCGGATATACCGTATATAGTACTTTCTTTCAGTTTGTCTGCAACCCAGTTAGTATAAATGCTTCAAAAATGCTGATTCGATCTGATATCGTCTGGCAAACAATCAGACAGCTAACGGTAAACGGGCCCAGACACAGCGACCCTGCCCCAAAGCCCGATGCAAAACGGCAACGGCAACGGCAACCGCAACTATTGGCCCAGTGAATGAATCACTTGGATCAGTCTCTCTCTCTGAACTTGGCGGGACTTGAGTCAGTGCCAAGTCAAGCTTAACAAATTACGGCCGTGAATGTTGGTAGTTTTGTCGGGGGGGTTGTCAATGGAGAGTGGGCTGGGCGGGGCAGGGCGTTTGGTCTACAACTCGAAAACTCATTTAATTTTTTCTTAAGTTTTTTTGTTGTTCAATTTTCCTTTCAACTTATTTGTTGTCCATATTTGTATTTAGCAATAAATGTAATTATAATTTAGCTTACGCTTTAGACTTAGCAATTTAGTTATAATAAGGCAAACGAAAGTGAAGGGCACTGGGGCGGGACCTATGCAAACCATAACGCAAATTGAATAAATACGATTATTAACTATTTAAGTAGGTGTATGTTTGTATATATAGCAATCGGAGCGCGTCAGGCATGCGTACGTAAATGTAAATGTAAATGTAAATTTCATTTATGTATATATCTATATGTATTATATATAGACCAACTTTCAAATCTAGCAACTTAATGATCTAATCATATTTTAAGACTTTTACAAAAAAGCAGGCAAAATTGGTATCTCAATGCATATTATAAGTACGTACAATAAATTCGAATCGTTGACGCTTTTTTGGTAACTCTCTCTCTCTCCCCTCTATTTCTATCAAATCTATAGGGGACTTAAAGCACTTTCTTTGCAAATAAAAATAAATAATAATAAACAAAAGAAATGTAAATAAAACAAAATAAAAAGAATTGTATAATGTTTTTGTTTGAGATTTTTTTGTTGGTTTTCTTTTTTTTTTTTTTTTTTGTAATTTTTAATTGGTAATATCGTTTTAAACATAAAGTATAGAGTGTGCAAAAGTTACATTAAATGTTCAGCTTGTGCTTGATCTTTTCGCTGCATAATTAACAAATTAAAAATTAATAATACAATACAAATCAAATTTAGTATGTGTGTGTATGTGTTTGTGTGTTTGAATAGTCTAAAAAACAAATCAGATTTCGGGTTACTCTTCGCTCTCTCTCCTGGCTTTCTGTTCAGATTTCGTCTTGGCCTAACACTGGGGGATAAAGAGCTGCAAACACTACACTACAAACTTTTTGTTTTAAGTAAATTGGAGGAACGTATAAATGTATATATGCCGCGTATACAATGTGTGTGTATGCGTGTGTGTGGGAGTGCACTTAAAGGAAGCACCCTAAAAAATGTTGACAGTAAAAAACACATCAAAATTCTATCATCAAAAATGTTTTTATAGCGCACAGTGGTTCAGTTCAGCATTTTGCTGATCAAATATTCTTGATAGCTGCGCTTTTTTCTTTAATTATTATTATTATTTTTTTTTTTTTCTAAATTTTTGTTTTCGTTTTTCTTGTTGATTAGTTTTGATATTTGAAATATTACGTGTTAGAATGCCAACTACGAGCTACATTTATAAGTTTTCCTTTTTTTTCTGTCACATACACTCTCATACAAGTGTGTTAATATATATATATTCTTTTTCTTTTTGTTCGTTATTTTCTTAAATTTTTTTTTTGTAATTTTTTTTTATGGTTCTTATAAAACACCTTTAGTTTTTTGTATTGTTTTTTTTTTTTTCTTTTCGTTTCGTTTTTGCGCTCCAAAGATTCTTTCTCGTTTTCAACTCAAATAGACACATAAAAATTGTTCGTTTAATACATGAGCAAACAAATGAGACAAAATAATAGAGACGGGAAAAAAAAACAGAGCGTGAGGAACAATTATAATATTTAAAAACGTAAAAAACGTAAAATGAATCCAAAAGTATGCAAATGAGCAAAAGAAGCGAGCGAGCACACACAAAAGGAAAAACCTTAACAAAATAGCACAAAACTCTAATCGACTTTGGGCTTGGAAAAATCGTAATTGTGCCACACAAACTAATGTCGGAGCCCCCCGTTTGCGTGTGTGAGTGGGGGGCATATCTGTTCATAAACATATTTATATTTATTTATATATATATATCTATATTTGTCTGCGTGTGTGTGTATGTGTGTATATATGTATTTAAAAAATTAATGGACGCTCCACTGAGCCACAACTTGGAAATGGAAGAGGAGGGGCTGAGGGATCGCAAAATTTCGCTGTTCGCAGTTTTCATGCGCAAAATACTTTTTCATAATATGTTTATAATATTAGTAAAGTAGTTTCATTTTTTTATTTAACTCCATTAGTGATCAACTCATCTGCGGCGCTGCAGCCGGACGCCGCCTAGAAATCCAGCAGTGCCACCTCTGGGTTCTGCTGCTGCTGCTGCTGCGGCTGTGGCTCCAATGCCTCCTGCGCTGCCTCCAGAGTGTCGTACAATCCATTGCCATTGCCATTCTGTTCCACTTTGCTTTCCGCCTCCTTCAAGCCATTGGCAGCAGGAGTCGGCTCTGGGTCAGCTGCTGTTGCTGGTGCTGCTGCAGGTTCTGCGGGCTTCGTTTCCACTGCCGCCTTGGCTGGGGTGGTGCCCGTTGGCCGCCTGATTCTCATGCCAGCACCTGGTGATGTCTTAGCGGTCTCTTTGGCTTTCGGTTTCAGCGGCGAGCTGGAAGCACTCTTCAAGGGCGACGACTTGCGCTGCTGTGCAGCAGTGGTGGTGGCGCTGCCAGCGGTCAGCTGGGTGCGACGCGCGCTGCTCGCACCACCGGTCGGCGCCGAGTGTGTGAATTTGGGCGCTGGGCGCGCCGTGAAAGTCTTGGTAATGGTCGTGGTTGTGGTGGTGGCGCTGCTGGTGGCGCTGCCGTTGGCTGTGGCCGACTTGATGCGGGTGGTGCTGGTGGTGCTAGTGGCTGCGCTGCTGCCGCTGCTCGGCTTGGCCACGCCATTGGCCAGCGGCTTCGAGGGACTGCGCGAACCAGACAAACTGCCAGTGGTGCTGGTGGTCGGCGGCTTGCGCAGCGTCGAGGACACAGTGCTGCGCGGTGAGAGAGTCTTCGGCTTGGCAGCGGCGCCAGTGGCGCCCAGGCTGTTGGGAGTGGTGGCCGGCTTGCTGGCCGTCACCTGCAGGCGCGACTTGGTGGCGGCTGTGGCGGATCCATTGCTGCATGTGGTCGAGCTGGGTGCCTTGCGGGCTGTAGTTGTGCTCGTAGTGGTGCTGGTGGTGGAGCGTGCCGTGGTGGCCGGCTTGGCAGCTGTCTTGCTCAAGCTGCCAGCGGTCTTGCTGGCCGGAGCGGTTGCCGGGCGAGCGCTGCTCAGGGTGCTGTGAGTGGTACGTGGTGCCGGCTTGCCAGCCGTATTGCTAGCCGTCAGCGGCTTGCGTGGGGCTGTGGTGCTCGTCTTGGCTGTTGCTGTTGTTGATGTTGTGGAAGCACTGGACTTGACAGCGCCGGCAGCCGGTGCCGTGCGTGGGCGTGCAGTTGTGGAGCCCAGCGTGGTTCGCTTCGTGATGGGCGCAGGTGAGGGCTTCTTGGCCGCTGCAGGCGGTGCAGCCTTGCCGGCAGCCGCCTTCTTCTGTGCATCACTGGGGCTAGCCTTGACCTTGGGCTTGGCTGCGGCAGCAGTGGCAGCTGCGACAGTTGCTCCAGCCGCAGCTGCCACAGCTGTAGTAGCCACTGCAGCAACGGCGATGTCAGCCACAGGTGTCTCCTCGGCCGGCTGTTCAGCAGCTGCTGGTTGGGCCACCTCGACTGGCTGTGCTGCCTCAAGTGGCTGTTCCACAGCTGCTGGCTCATCGGCCACAACAGCAGGCGGCTCCTGCTGCAAAGACTCGACAGGCTGTTCCGCAGCTGGGGCTGCAGGAATCGACTGTTCCACAATTGGCTCAGGCTCCGCCACTGGCTTGACCGCCTCCTCCTTCTCCACGTTGCTTGCTTCGGGTGTTGGCTCTGGTGTCTCAGCGCTGCTTAGACCATTCGTGTAGGGTGCAGCTTCGGCGTTGAGCTGATGCGCTACTGATACCTCCTCCTCGATGAGCTCATCCTGCAGTTGTAGTTCGTTGTAATTTGGTTGGATCTCCTGTTTAAAAGCTGGTTCGGCCACCTGTTGCAGCAGCTCCTCTTGGAAATGTGGCTCTTGCTGTTCGTGCTGTGCAGCCATGAAGTCGTCGTGCTGTGGCTGCTGCTCCTCCTGGAAGACCGGTTGCGAGTCCTGCAATTGATGCTGCTGCTCCTCCTGCGAGGGCTGCTGTGGCTCATCCTGCAAGTACTGCAGCTGCTCCTCCTGGAAGTTCTGTTGTTGCTCCTCCTGGAAGTTCTGTTGCTGCTCCTCCTGGAAGTTCTGTTGCTGCTCCTCCTGGAAGTTCAGCTTCTGTTCTTCTTGGAAATACGACTGAGGCTCCTCCTGGAATTGCTGTTGCTGCTCCTCCTGGAAGTTCAGCTTCTGTTCTTCATGGAAGTTCACCTGAGACTCCTCCTGGAACAGCTGTTGCTGCTGCTGTGTTTCCTCCTGGAATTGCTGCTCCTTCTGCACAGGTTGCTCTTGCTGCTGCTCTGAATACTGTTCCTCCACGTCGTCTAAAAAGTTCGTTTCGCCTTTAGGCGGCTGCTGTTGCTGCCGTTGCTCCACCTCCAATCCATCGTCCAAGCCAAATGGATTACTAGCCGGAGCAGATTCCTCCTCACTGTGGACTCCATAGCCGGTAGCTGTATTCAATTCAGCATACTCCTGCAACATACAAAAGAGGGAGAAAATTATGGATTAATAACTTGATACATAAATACAAATGAGCAAATCTTTCAAAGCACCACTTGGAATGCATCATGCTCAATAAATTTGAAATGTTAATACCCTTAGCAGATTATGATAGCGATGATGATGATGATGATAATGATGATGTCTACCAACAAGCTGCCCAAAAACAAAAGACACTAAGCAATAACAACAACAATAACGTCAGCAGCAGCAGCAACAGCAACAGCATTTGGCCTCTGTCTGGCTGTCGTCTTCTTCACGCACAGACAATGTCGACATCGACATCGACATCGTCATCTGGCCGCCCCCTGCCCCCCCATTGCTTCGGTTGACGCCCCGCTGTCCCCTGTTAAATCGATAAATGCAATGAGCCGGCACATGGAGCTAAAATCCCTGGAAATGTCTTCGTTTTTCGGTCTTTGCGTTGGAAAAATATGGTAAAGATTTGTTATTTCTTGTGCTCAATTCGTTTTTGCTTTTTGGTTTTCCAGCTTGTTTGCAATTGAGCGTCAAGAAAATGTTACTTCTGGTGTTATATGGTAAATCCTCTAGTCTGTGCTCGCTACGCTCCCCTCCCCCAGCCTGTCAGTCTGTCGCTTTACCAAGTGAACTCTGAGTGCAAGCTGTAAAAATAGCAGCGACCACAAAGTACAAACGGTTTTTATATTTATACATACACATATGCATGTATGTTTGTATGTATGTATATCCATATACTATATAAGTGCAAGTATTTATGGACGTGGCAAATACCAGCGAAAATAACTCAGCCAACCGCATGACTTTCCAGCAAAATAAACGAAAGATACCCCTTTTACCCCAAAAAATATTTGACGAGTATAAATATATAGAATAAGTACAAGTTCGATGCATCACTCGCTTTTAAATACATTAAACATTGTGTTTCCGAGAAAATTTTGAGCATGTATAATGAAAAATATTTACAGTAAACTTAATATCAAACTTGTCTTATTTATGCAATTATATAAATCTAATCAAAAATGAATTCCTCACAAAATAAACAAATTTCTTCAATCACTAATAAAAGTTCATTTTTTTAAGCGAGCTTCATGTTCGCAATATACTGATATATTTACAGAGATGACTGAACTTCATACAATAACATATCTGCAAATGTTAACATTAACATTATTCCTTATAATAATATATTATATATTTATACATACATATGTATACATTGCTAACAAATGGGCGACCCCAAGAAGCGTGCTATAAAATAAAGGCAAGTAATGCTGGAAAAGCTGTTCCAGGAGTTGAACATAGATATATGTATGCAGCGGTAAATGCGCGAGAGAGCGGGGCAAAGAGAGAGAGAGCAAGAAAAATAGAGAGCGTGTGCAGGGCGCAGTGCAACATCCCTCGAATAAGGCACGAGCCACAGCAAAAACAGCGGATAGCAGATTCTGCCAGCTATTCGTCAGCTGTGTCTGCATGTTTGCGAGGGTTGTGTGGAAACACACACACACACACACACAGACGCACACTTGTAGAACAACTCGAATTACTAATGCATACAAATTATAATAATGACATCAGCCGCGCTGGGGCGAACTTGTGAAAGTGAGAAAGCAGCGAGTAGCAGCAGCGGCTGGCAATGTCATGACAATTGCCGCCATTGCCAGCAGCCACAGCAGCAGCACCAGCAACACAAACAACAACAACAACAACAGCAACGAAAAGAAACTACAACAAAGAGCGATGACATAGCACGACGGCAAACGCACACACTTAAAACAGCAAGTATAAAGTCAGATGGCAGGAAGCGTCGTGTACTGTGACTCGGCATTAGTTTTGGAGGCGCTGTCCAACAGGGTACAAATGTAGCGCTAACATTTTTTCCGGCACTTTTCTTCTAGTGAGCTACGCAACACCACAGCAATCGCAGCAGCGCCAAACGCAGTCGCTGCCGACGTCACCGTCTCGGTCGCAGTCGCAGTCGCATTTGTGGCCGCTTTAAAATGTCATTGACCAGCAAATGCCACTAGTTGGGGCCGCTGTTGCCGGTGTTTTGTCGGTTTTGCTGCCCACTTTTGGCCCACTCGCTAGCAATTGCTGGCTTTCTTTTGTTGCTCAAGCGTAATGGGGCTAAAAGTGAGCTGAAGCCGAAAAAGTTGAAATCAAAATGAAACTAAGGTAAAGAAACAAAGAAAAGTGAACCGGTTAAATCGCAGCTTAGTCAGCTTCTGCGCACAGATGACTCATCCAGCGACAACCCACAGAATTAATTATTTCATTAATCAGTGCTAGCATTAAATTATGCAATGCCAATTGCCGTTTATAAATAACCTGCATTTCACACAATCTCTTTCTCCTCTCTCCCTCTCTCTGTCACTCCCCCAAGCGCTATGGCTCTTTGGCATTTTATCAGTCCAATAATGCGTCAGCCTCGAACGGGCTGGCAACGCCGCTTCGCTGCCAACTTTGCCGGCCGGCCGGCCGGTCTGCTTATGTGCTAAACGTTCAGACTTGTTTTGCTCTTGTGCAAAATAACCAATTTTTGCCAACTCCTATTGTGTGTGTGGGTTGTGTGTATGTGTGTGTGTTTGCATTTAGGTTTCATAGTTAAGTGCATGATTTCTTCTATTATTGACAAATGATTTTGACACTCAAGACAAGCAACGGCGCCGGGCACATCTAGTCAGCAGGCACTATAACAATGGATACTTATTCATTGAAGGGGGCCTTCGTTGTTCGTGGGTGAATTATGTGCGTACACACACTCGCATACATATTGTACATGTATGCGTGTTTGCTTCTGCCTGTCTCTCTTTCTTGGTTGCTTTTGCACGCACAAACACACACACACACATAGCACAAAACAATAACAAAGCAAAACAAAACGCAACGATGACATCAACATTTTCAGTCTCCACTTCTCACACACGTATACACACATACATACATACATATGCACACACACGGCGAATTTTAATACTGATGATAATTGTGAAAAGTGCGCAGCAAAAGAAGAAATTGCACGAGCGTTGCCAGGCGTTGACGTCAACTATGGGCAGAGCGAAAGAGGGCAGAAGAGTAGTAAATAAGAAGAGTAGAACGAGGCAAGGTGAACAAGATCAGCAGCACGTTTGGGGAGAGTTGTGCTTGTGCGCTTGTTCTTGTTTTGTGTGTGGCCGTGCAAATTGCTGAAAATCAGAATCAAAATTGTGCCATAAACAACAACAGCAGCAACAATAACAACAACAGCACATACAAATCAAGTTCAACAGATGGCGCACATTTGCATTTCGGCTGCCCATGGGGCGATGTGGTAAGCTATGACCAGGGGCAGGTGGCGTTTGGGGCGGCCTATAAATTTTCATCGTATCCGAAATGGCACAGAGTGCAGACAACATGCAAAGACAATTTATAGAGTCGCAAATTTTGCGCAAAGCCAACAAATCACTTGTATTGAGTCGTCGGTTCACGTCGACTTTGTGTTGTCGTCTCCGTCTCACATATGGATGGATATATGTAGCTCGTTAGAAAACCAAACTGGGCAACCAAACAGCCAAACAGACGACAGTGGCCATTAAGCGCACACAAATATGGCATGCAGTTAGTTGGCAGCAGCGGCAGGGTCTAACTGTTTTTGGCCATACGCACACTTACATTATGCACATTATAATAACAATAAAATAGCTAAATGCTCAATAATGCGTAGAGAATGTGAGCAAGAGAGAAAGAGATGACTGCGAGGCAGCGCAGCAATGACTAAGCACGCGCTTGGGCGGCGGCAAAAGACAGCGACCACAAACTACAAAAACAATGCCAAATTAAGCGACAGCAAAAGACTTCTCATCAACATAGGCAAACAGACACACAAATACAAACACACAAGCGCACACATACCAAAAGGCACAATAAACATGCAAATAAAATAATGTGCGTCTATGTAATTTCTATTTATAACTCTTTGGGCAGGCAGGCACACATTCAATGTAGTTGACACAGGCAAAGGAGCCAAAAACTATTCAATGAGCATATGCAAAATGCACTCTCTGTGTCTCCCTCTCTCGCTCAGCTGCTGTTATATTGTAATCTCTTTTTTGCTGCCGCTACTGTTGTGTTGCGGCTACTTAACTGTGCAATCATAATAAGCACTGTGCGCTGCTCTGTTACTGTTACTGTAACTGTTACTCTTGGTACATAATGCTAATGATGTTGAAATGGCTGAGTGTGTGTGTGTGTGTGTGTGAGTGTGTGGCAAGCAACAGCAGCAGAGGCAGCGCACTGACTGCGAGCCACATGCAACTGCAGCACGCAACATGTTGCCAATGTTAGCAGTCTAACAATATGGTTTTTTGTTTCTTTCTTCTTCTTTCTTTTTTTGGTAGCAGCTCATGCTGCACATCATTAATCTCCCGATGTTGATTAATGCACAATTTTATGCTATTTTCATTACTTTTCTACATGTTCAACAAAAAATATAAAAAAGGTGCTGCAGCTGAGGCATGAAACCAACGCCAGGGGGCGCCCTTTGTGTGTTTTATTTCTTTACATTATTATTTCTTCTTATTTATAATTGATTTTTTCTTTAAACTTTTGTTCGTCGAGCGGAAATGATACAAGTCTAGAAAAATGCAGCTCTATATTATTTATTTAGTTTAATTTCTTTTGTTTTGTTTTTTCTTTTGGCCTCCACTACAAATAAGATATAGATTGCTTAGTCAGCGACGAATTCCTATCAATTGGGCACAGTTGGCCAACAGACCGGGAAAGCCAGAAACATACGTAGTATGGGCAATTAGTGAATCGAGCTGCGACAGTTACGCCAACTCATTCAACTCAACTCAACTCAACCCAACTTGACTCAATGAATTATGGCGACGCCATTAATGAAAGAATTAATAAGCAATAAAAAAACAGATACAACGCGAATTGTGTAGGAAAACCGGCAAATGGCCATGGCAACAGATTTTCGCAAACAAGACGAGGCAAAATAATGAAAAAAT